TGGGCTTCCACTGCATTCATCAATAATCTCATTTGGGCCTTTATCCTGAACACCCCAATTGGACTTCACTCTTTGGACTATTTAATTTGAATTGCACTTTTAGTGTGTCAACACATTGTTCATGAGTCCATAGTTTAGGAAAAAGAAGCTTATCACATCTTATAAGATCACATATCATATTATTAAGGAGTTCATATCTACACTCAATAATAATTGTCAACTTTATTCGTGGAAATAAAATATGTTAATCTTAATATTTTATGATATGTAGTGCTATCCAATAATAGCATAGACGCATTAAGAAAACTCAATATAATTTTTTAAACATCGGTACGATCAAAAAAAAATTAAAAATTATGAACTTATGAAATGTTAGTATATTTCTTAATAAAAACAAGTTACTGATAATAAAATTTGTTTAATACGTAATATTGAACAACACAACTCAAAAATTAGTCTTTAACACTATTCAATTTAATAAACCTTATTTGTTACTGGCTATTGATTCAAAATATATTTCTAGATGGCCTGGTCAGAGAAAATGAAGATAAACCATATACAAAAAGCAATAATGAAGTTGGTTGTCTAGTCAATTCAAGGACCAAAATAAGGACATCATTACTTTCTAGTGACTTTGGAATAGTTTGAAATTCGTGCTGTGCTGTGTGTACAGAACACAGCATATAGAACAGATACATAAGAGATTATATTTGTTGAGAAGTGCAAAACCATATAGATATGATCTTTACTGTGGATCTTGATTATTTGGATCTTTTCTTTGTGGATTCCTACACCAAGTTTTGGTAAATGAGCTCTCCATGTATTCCTTGTAACGATCTATGATGGTAAGTTCATCGTTCTACATAGTTGTTCATGTACCAGTAGAAGATTAGGCAGTTATCGTTATTATAAATGTTGCTTACTCATTTTCAATTATCGATCTCCATTTCAATTGTATAGTTGATTCTTGACAATCTCCATTACAGAAAATACTCTTTATACAGTGGTAGTAGCAACTTGAATAATTCATGCTACTGTTAGTCCGATACAAGTCTGTGGAGTAATGAGTACACTTCATTTTTTTTTTCTTACAACCAATTTTGGTGCAAAATCAAATGCTCATAATCCTCCAAAATCCTTGTTAGTGCATATATCAATAATATAGGTCTTAAGTTGTTCATCAAATATCAAGATCTCTACCGCTATAAAAATTTTAGACTAACACTCATACAATTGCAATAAATTTGTTATTGAAAAAAAAAAAAGAAATAGAATTATTCAAACATGAACATGCATTACAATGAGTAAGTCATTATTTACCTTCAAAATTCGATCATTTAATTCTTGAAGTTCCATATCAATGACGGTATAAAAGAACATCACACAGAAGTGATGTGAATTTGTCTTCTTTGATGTTATGTAATGAACAACCTAGAGGTATAAATATTTCGTTCATGTTGAGAACATATTCAATTCCGTGCTTTTTTCGAACAATGTTATTAGCAAATTGTACAACTGAGTTTACTTATTTTTTAAAAATTTATCTATGGAATAATTTAACTCTGTCTACATTTCATCTATATATAATTGCAGTCGATTCCAAGTCTTGAAGGAGGATGGTAGTTTAATATGATATCATTTTGTTTTTATCCATTTTTAAAAAATTGAAATTAAAATAATGAAATGTATTATAAAACTAACAGAATATGGAATGAGAGGAGAAGAAAGTTGCATTGCTTGTACGTAGAATATCTTTAGCATACATAATACATAGTTGCATTGCTTGTATGTGAAAAATTACGTGCTTAAACTCCAACTATTAACATGAGTTCAATTCCTAGGATTTGTCTTCAAGGAATGGGTAGTCTGTGTAGCCAATGACAGGATCGTGCGTGTAGAACGTACTTCTATCATACTTATTGAGTACTGAATTAAGCTCAAATCTTCTTGGCAAATCCGGGTTAGCCAAGAACAGGCGCCCGAATGCAACGAGATCAGCACCACCGCTGCCTATCACTTCATTTCCGTCGTCCCTGTTGTATCCCCCTGCAACAATAAAAGCACCTGCGAAAGCTTTTCTCATAGGCAGAAGGGAGCTTTTAGTTTCCTGCTTGTCATATTGTGTGATCATTCTTGGTTCAATGACATGACAGTACAGTATGCTGTATTTGTTCAATGCCTCGGCCATATAGAGGCCAAGGGCATCAGGGTTTGAATCTCCACTGTCTTTGTAATTGGCATAAGGTGAGAGCCTAATTCCAACTCTATGAGCTCCAATTTCTTCTGCTACTGCTCTTACTATCTCTAATGGAAATCGACAACGATTTTCTATGCTCCCTCCATATTCGTCTGTTCTGTCATTCACTTGGTCTTTCATGAATTGGTCGATCAGGTAACCGTTTGCTCCATGAATCTCTACCCCGTCAAAACCTGTGTAAGCAGTCATGAGTTGAAATATTTACTATTTAGTCAGACTGATTAATATGCATGGATCATTAGAGTGATATAGGAAGATAATACCTGCTTCAACCGCATTTTTGGCTGCTACTCTAAAATCACTGACGACCTGGGATGTTTCCTCGACTGTTAATCGACGTGGGGGTGAAAACTTTGCTTTGTTGTGCTCGACTCGGATGGCTTTGTCAGTACAAGAAATTGGAGGATCACCATTAGGCTGAAAACCTTCAATTCAAGAATGAGCAAAAGAGAGTTAATTTTGTAGCAGAAATTGTATGAATTTTGGCTTAATAAGGTTAAACCTTGGATAAGAGAGAGAGGATTTACTATGATTTGAAACTCTGCCAGCATGCCAAAGTTGGCAGAAGAAAATACCCCCTTTCTCATGAACTGCTTTTACAATTGGCTTCCATGCTTCTATTTGTTCTGTTGTCCAAATGCCTGGAGTATGTGGATATCTTCAACCAGGAAAAAGGGAGAAAAAAAAAAGCTTATAAAGTGAGGGTGCTCAAGTACTTATAAACTCATAAGTCAACCTTCAACTTATCGAGTTTGTTACACACAAGCGATAATAGACAATATTTAAAATAAGAATAAGAATACACAGATTTACGTAAAAATTCAAGATGGGAAAAATCACAGCCAAGGGAGAAGAAAATCCACTATATCAAAGGTGAATACAAGAGATCGGTGTTTTAACGGCCACTCCAAATTAAGCCTTTGTTTGTCTACCTTTTTAGAGTTTTTGGAGGGACAATGAATTTTGGAATAGTGATTTCTTGAAAAAAAATATAGTTAAAAAATAGAAAAATAATTTGGGTTAACATTTTGAGACCCACCTTAAATTTATTCATCGATACTTAATATAAGATGAGCACCGGTGCTCAATATATATATATATAAATTCTCATAATTCTGGTTTCACCATGGCCCTGTCTGTTATTGATTTGGAAATCAATTATCCTACCGTTACATGGAATAACCGGGTCCCACCATACACACACACACGATCAAAGATGACGGCTCAACGGGCTGAAAATCACAGGGCCAACGGACAGATTTCTGCTTTTTAGCAGAAACAGACAGGGCCCATATATGTCACACCGTTTGCTTTTCAGTCCTGGCCAAATAGAGTACTTGTTGCCTTATTCTAACAGGGGTTCAAGAATCCTTGCACCAATCTAAATCTATCATATTGTAAATGTATGGCTTTAACCATGCAGTTGAAAAACCTTTTAAGCTTTGTTCTGTTCATTAAATACAGATTATAGAACTAATTAAAAGTTGCAATCCAGCAAGTTACCCTTGAGCTGTTTCAGAAATTCCAGAGGCTTCACTGATCAAGAATCCACCCTTTGTTGTTCTCTGAGAATAGTAAAGAATTCCCTGCGGTTGTGCAATAAAATTGTATGACCTCGTTCTTGTCATAGGTGCCAAAACTATCCTGCAAAACTTCAAAATTGGTTCATCAATATCCTAATAAATTAACCTACTTCAACTTTAAGAGGACACTGGACATTAGTTATACCTTCATATGACGCAGGTCTAAAGTTCTTTACATGCCCTCTTATATATACAATCAACCAAAAAGGGAAAGAATTTAGAGAGTTTAAGAGCTCGTTTATGAGAAGGAGAACAACTGTTTTTGAGTTCAGATGAACTGATATATGGAAGATCAGAACACAAACACACACACCACGGAAAATGGCACCTACACGCCTTCATAGAAGTTTTTTGACCGATAACCGAGAACTAACCTGTGCGAAAGATTAAAATTTCCCATGTTGCATGGAGTCAAGAGGGGAACTGACACCTTAGTTTGCGTTATTTCTTCTTCCATGTTCCTTATCGGTGCAATATTTCCAAATTAGGAGGAAGCGAGATCCAGAACTGAAAAAATATGATGGAAAAATCAACTTGTCTCTTGACCTTCTATTATTCTAAGGCACTTTTGGCATGACTTTTGAGAAGTTAAAATGAATTTTTGCGATTCAAAAACTGCTTTTGGAATTGTGTGGTTAATTTTATAAAAGTGTTTCTACTTGTTAGAAGAGTTTTTAGAGAAAGTTAGTCAAATTTGACTTTCACTAAAAGCTCTCCAGAAGAGAAAGCTCTTTTAAAAATTAGTTTTTAAATACTAATTAATGTAGTTTCCTCGTAAAAATTTTCTACAAGAAGCAAAAGTAGAATCTCACCAAACGAGCCCTAATTTAATGTGGAGAAAGAAAAGATGGAAGTGCATTAGTTTGAAAGTGACAAATCCATTATCATTTGGACCTAATTAACAACCCCTCTTTCCTTTTCTTGTTGTTTGTGGAAAAAAAGAAGAGATGGTAATGAATATAAGTAATTCTTAAGTTTTAAGTTTCTAAATGAGACGATTAACATGCTATAGTAGGGCAAAAACCTATATGAAGTCTCGCTACTTTCCATTTTTGAAAAATGTTTACTTATTAAGCTTTTATTTGAAAAATAGTTGAATGTGGCCAGTATTTCATAGGCATTGAAGATAGAGTAATGTTATTCATAGCCAACAACGACGTTAGTCATCATATGTGGCAACTTGTTATTTGAGGCAACAAAATTATAGAAAGCTAATACCTCAAATAATAAGTTGTGGCATAAGATAACTATTTCAGCCGCTGACAATGAATAGCATTATTGTTAAAGATATGATTTAAATGATTACATGTGACTAATTATGACAGTTTAACCATTTAATGGAGATGATAACAAAGTCGGTATCCGAGGTCAATTTTATAGAACAAAATAGAAAGAAAGCAAATGTTGAGAAAATGGCATAAATATCCATTTATTAATTAAATAGTCTAGTGAGATTCGACACATTGTTCATGACTCCATAGTTTAAAAAAAAGAAGCTAATCACATCTTATAAGATCACATATTATATTATTAAGGGAGTTGATATCTACACTCAATAATAATGATCCACCTTCTTCGTGGAAATAATCTATGTTCTTAATCGTAATATTCTATGATATAAAGTACAACAGTAGCTTAGAGCATTAACAAAACTCAATATAATATTTTTATCAGTACGACCAAAAATTTAAAAACTACCGAGTAAATTATGAATGTATGGAGTGTTATATCCATGTCTTTTGTCTCTATAAAAGAAGCCATAAATAGTAAAAACATGTTTAATATGTAATTTTGGTCAAAATAACTCGGAAATTACTCTTTAATGTTGTTCAATTCAATACAACTTATTCGTAATGAACTTATGATAGTATTTATTGATTCAAAATATATTACTAGATGTATTAAACTACTCGTACATACAAAGTGTACACTTTGATTGACAACCCCTATGTGTCAAAAATCTGACGAATGATTGAAAAATGTGTTATCAAGATCAATGTGCCAAAACCTACCAAACTCACATTGTGTCAACCTTTATTTATATGTAGCATGATCGTTATTAGATAGCACCGTTGAATGACCAGAGAATATGCAGATAAGCCCTATACAATCGGCTACAATAAAGTTGGGTTGTCTAGTCAATTCAAGTTCATCAACTGTCAAGATCTCTACCAATGTGAATTTTTTTGGATAATACTTATACAATAGAAAAAAGAAAATGAAATACTCTGACACGAACATGCAACACAAATTAGTAAAGTCGTTATTTGCCTTCGAAAATTGATAATTCAGTTCTTGAAGTTGCATATCACTGATAGCATAAAAGAATTTCACTCAGAAGTGACGCAAAATTGTCTTCTTTGACTACTAAGTTGTGAACAGTCTAGAGGTATAAACATTTCATCCGTGTTGAAAAAATCATTATCATTCTTTTTACAGAAAATGTGTTTTATTTCCAAAAAAAAAAAATGAATTTCCTTTTGATCTGGCGACTACTGTATGCAATGAACTCCTAACAAGTTGGTCATAAGGTGTCGTCGTAGAGCAGTGAGCGTAAGATAAGGAGAGTGATGTTCGTAACCAAGGTCGGGAGCGTGTACGGAGAGTATATAGAGCATCACATGAATGGTGAATCCTTGTAATAAATGGATGGATCTTTGTGAGGAAGTATAATTATATCTAAGCAGCCCACTCAAATTGTTATTTAAATTTTTTTTCCAAGTTTGGTAATTGGTAAGATGAGTGGTGATTGACTATCACAGCCCACTCAAATCAAGACTATTTCATCCCTCATGTCTTCCTCTCAAACCTTAAATAATCACCAAGTAACTCTCAGTGTGTAAATAAATTCTTTTAGAATATAACACTTCAAAAATGAAGTTTATAACCTAGTTCAATACTTAAGTTAAATTTTTTTTTTTTTTTTTTGTAATTTTAAGTTTAAGAAAAAGAAAAGGTGGTCATTTAGATTTAGATTTAACCTATTTTGATGGTGTAACCAAGGGCAAACTAGTCATAATATAGAGTCAAATGAGGCCTGAAAGGAAAGGAAATGGAGGGGATAGACGAGTTTTATGTTCAACCTCGATTAGTTGAAAATGAACATTGAAGAAAGCAATCGTTGTTGACGCCACACAAATAGTATGTTGTACATTTTTACTTCACGTGAGACTAACCCTAACAAAATTGTCAAATTAAAATGAAAAATATAATTAGATGATTAAATGATATAAATTGAACTTAAACTCATTCCCACTATTCTAGTATAAACATGATAAACACGAAAATTTTGTTACATGTCTTTATCTCTTAATTTTTATTTTTTGTGGTTGAATGGGGCAAATATATTTGGAGAATATGACAAATAATATTTTAATTATATGTTTATTTTGTGAATGGTGAATGGTCATGTCATCCTACAAATAAAACTCTCGTCGAGTATGATTTTTGAAAATTTGAAACTTCATGTTGAGAATATTGTATGATGAATCAAAACACACGTATACAAAGTGATATGTTCTTTGTATCCTAATGTTTTGATTTTTTATGAGTCATTAGCGATGGGTGAATTTTGTATTCACTTTTGTCTCGTTTGTTTTGTTTCCCTTTTGTTTGATCACTTGAATCTCTTGGGTGTGCCCAAAGTAGTTGTATTTCCATAGTAACTTAACTTCATTGTTGCTTCACCTAGGTATGCTCTGAGTATTTGTATTTGATGTTTCATCAATATAATTCATTTTTACCCGATTAAAAAAAAACTCTCGTCTATTTATAATTTTACCTTCTGTTGACATATAAAAAGTGTAGACCAAATTGAATAGTCCAAGGAATGAAATCCAATTGGAAAATCTAGGATGAAGACCCAAATAGGACCATTGATGAATGCAGTGGAGGCCCACGAACAAAATAATATCATTGCCTAACCTTGCAAGACGCTCAGAAACTGAGCGAATGGAGCGTCTTACGGTTGCTCAGAGCGATGATCCCGTTCTCGTCCAAACCCTCGAGTCGCTCAGGAACTGAGCGAATCTAATGTATTATGGTTATCCAATACAGCAATTATTGAAGCTGTTATTAAACAACCTTATCACACCCCACGATCCGAGAATCTCGATTGTAGGCAGTTAAACGACAAGAGTGATAGCAACAGTTAGATACGGCAGTTCCAAGACAAGTTATCCATCATGAAGAAAGTGGGTAGTTATAGAGCACCAACAGTTTCCCAACAGTTTGTTACAAAGAAACTATCAAGATAGTATAAAAAGGAAAAGAAGATATAGAATAAAAGACCCCGAATCAAACACTCTCACCAGAGAAAATGTAATTTCAATTTCTTAGTTTAACTTTAAAACATTTCTTTTAGTACCCGTTTGCTTGCGCCCCTTGGAGGCATTCTATTTATTTTCAATTGTACTATTCATCAATAAAGCACTCCTTTTGGGGACTTTGTTTCAAGAGATTTGTTCCTTACACAATCGTCTGAACCTTTTTTAATTGTTAACGATAACTCGCGCGAAACACTTTCTATGAATAAATGATAGAAATTGACATAATAATACGATGGGGATCAACTCTCTATACCATTTTGACTATACTTTTTAGAATTTACACAACATTTTAGATACAACACTGTAGTCTTGGAACATTTATCCGAGTTTCTCTACAATATTTTATTTTGCGTGCCTACACTCTAAACCGTTAGGCCATTCCAAAAATAGCTCAGCCATATAACAGTCGGTCCCGTGCTATCATGTCTTAACCAACAGTCGGTTCGATAGTTGGAGTCACCCCCGGGATTAACTGTGAGTCTATATAATATTTTTTAAATTTTAAATTAAATAAAAAAATTAAATTCGTTTCTTAAAGCAGATCTGCCTTGAAACTCTTCAAGGCCTTGGAGTTTCAAGGTTCCAAGGAAAAATTATCTGGTTCGAGAATTTAAATTGTTTTTCACGATTATCCATAAAAAGTTAAATACTTAATTTTTATTCCAATATTTGGATTTTAGGGCATGTTTGATAAGCCCTTTTTTTTTTTCCATGGAACCACTTTTGTCATATTTGATAGCCAAAATTTTCCATGAAAAATATTTTCCTCCCACCCCCCACGTGACCCCTTTTTTCATGTTTTTGTTGAATTAGTTTTCCCACCACTTTGGTGGGAAAATAGTTTCTAACTTTTTATTTATTTATTTTTTACAATGAAAACAAATTTTATGGACAATTGTAAAAAAAAAATTTAATGAAAAATTTTCATCAAAAATCAAGCCAAGCGAACATCAAAAGATCCAAAATTTCAATATTTTTCGGTGGAAAATTATACCAATCAAATACAATTAATTGACAATTTTCAAGAAA